TATTTAATGTCTCTTTTGCCTTATTTATTTTCTGTCTGGGAGATGTGTCTATTGCTGTTAATGTGGTGTTAAAATCTCCAACTATGATTGTATTCCCATCAATATCCCCCTTTATCTCTGTTAGTAATCATTTTATGTACTTAGGTGCTCCTATATTGGGTGCATATGTATTAATGATTGTAATATCCTCATATTGCATCACTCCTTTAATCATTATAAAATATCCTTCTTTATCTTTCTTTACGGCTGTTGTTTTAAAGTCTATTTTGTCTGCAAGCAATACTGCAACACATGCTTTTTTGGCTTTTCCATTTGCATGAATATCCTTTCCCATCCTTTCAGTCTCAATCTGTGTCCTTCTCCCTAAAGTGGATCTCTTGTATGCAGTATATTGAAGTTTCCTGCTTTATTATCCAGTCTGCCACTGTATGTCTTTTGACTGAAGCATTTAGTCCATTAACATTTACAGTAATTAGTAATAGGTGTGTGTTTATTGCCATTTAGAACTTATCTTTGCAGTTAATTTGGTATTTCCTCTTTATACCTTACTTCTTCCTTTTGTGATTTGGCAATTTTCCTTTGTATTATCATGGATTTTATTTAGTTTTTGTGACTCCTTTGTATGTTTTTGGCTTGTTGTTTCCCATTCTTGTAAATGTATTAGCCCATTACTATAACTATTTTTTTAAGCTGATTGTTACATGATCTAAAACCTACCCTGAGAGCAAAAAAATTGGAAAAGAAAGTAAAAGATGTGTTTTCCTGCCTCCCCTTCCCATTCTCAATGATTTAGCTGTCTTCTTGTACAATTTCGTGTTTATTTTATTTGTAATTCATGACTTATCCCCTTCCAGTTATTATTTTCTCATTTCTGTAGCGTCTTGCTGCTTTTCTATTTAAAATAGACCTTTCAATATTTATTTTAGCATGGGTTTAGTGTTACTAAACTCTTGTACTTTTGCTTTTCTGTGAAATTTTTATGTATCCTTCTATCCTAAAGTATAGCCTTGTTGGATAAAGTATCCTAGGCTGTATCTTTTTTTCATTCAGGACTTTGAATGTATCTTGCCATTCCCTTCTGGCCTGAAGTGTTTGTGTAGAAAAATCAGCTGAGAGCCTTATGGGGGTTCCCTTGTAACTCACTCTTTGCTTTTCTCTTGCTGCCTTTAGGGATCATTTCTTAATCCTTGACTCTGGTCATCTTGATTATGATATATCTTGGTGTGGTTCTGTTTGGGTTCTTCCTGTTTGGGACCCTCTGAGCTTCCTGTAATTGGATATCTGATTCCTTCTTTATGTTTGGGAAGTTTTCAGTCATGTTTTCTTCCAATAAATTTTTAACCCCACTTGATCTTTCTTCCCCTTCTGAGACCACTATTATGTGAAAATTAGCATGTTTTATATTATCCCATAGGTCCCTTACATTGTTTTCATTTGTTTATCTTACAGCTGTTCTGATTGGGTGCTTTCTGTTTTCCTGTCTGCTAGGTCTCTTATTCATTCCTCTACATTAAATAGTCTGCTTTGCACAGACTTTAGTCAGTTCTCATCTCAGCCAATGAGTTTAGCAATTCTACTTTGCTCTACTTTATAGCTTCCATTTCATTTGTGACATATTTTATATCTCTATACACTATCTCTTTTAATTCCTTCAGTACTTTGACCACTCCTTTTTTGAAATCTTGCTCTAGTAGGTTATTGATGTCAATTTCATTGATCTTTCTTTCAGGTGATTTCTCTTGTTCTTTTAATTGGGAATGGTTTCTCTGCTTCATCTTGCTCATACCTCTCTGGCACTGTGGTTTATGGAGTATCAGTTATCTATTGTGGTCCTTAAGAAATTTATTTATTTATCTATCTAATGCCATGTAGGAATAAAACTGATTTTGTCTTCTCTGTCTTTTTAAGAAGATGATGTTGTCAGACTCCCACAGGTGCTCTTCTTGGCTGAGTGGGTCTGTGGATGTGTGTTTGTGTATTTGTGTGAGAGGGTGAGCTACAAGCACCATGCTACTCTTCCATCTTCTAAAGTGCAAGTTTAAGTCTAGAAACACTTACCCTGATTTCTCAGCCTGTTTCCTAGTGCAGGTTTCAAGTTACAGGTGGTTTGTGCTGCTGAATTGAGTTCGAGCAAATGTTTCCCCTTATAGATACAGGAAGGCCTGCATCTGAAACACAGAATGCCTGTGTTCAAGACAATGTAAGTAAAGGAGGCCTTCCACACTCATTCAGACCCCAAAAATGACATGTGTAGAAGCGTTCATTAAGCTTGTCTAAAGAACAAGGGTTAATCTAGAGACACTTACCATGATTTCTCAGCCTGTTTTCTAGAGTTGGTTTCAAGGTAAAGGCAGTTGGGAGTGTAAAACTGTGTTGAAGTGAATGTCTCCCCTCATATATATCCATGAAGGCCTGCTTCCTAAACATAGAAACACAATGTTTGAACAAGGTATGTGAAAGGGTCTTTCCATGCGCATTTGGATCCCATAAATAAACATGTGTAGAAGAGTTCATTCAGATAGTCTAAAGTGCAACTTTAAATCTAGAAATTTTACCCTGATTTCTCATCCTGTTTTCTAGAGCTGGTTTGAAGGTAAAGGCAGTTTGTGCTGTAAAACTCAGTAGGAGCAAACTTCTCCCCTTAAATGTATAGGGATGCCTGCTTCCCAAACACAGATACTATGTGTTCCAAACAAGGTATGTGAAGGTGGCCTCCCACACACATCTACATCCCAGTAAAGAACATGTGAACAAGTATTCATTCAGCTAGTCTAAAATGCAAGATTATATCTAGAAACACTTACCCTGATTTCTCAGCCTGTTTCCTAGACACAGGTTTCTAAATAAAGGCAATTTGCACTGTAAAACCGAGTAGCACCTAATGGCTTCCCTTCTATATACAGGAAGGCCTGGTACTGAAACACAAAAACTCTATGTTGCAAACCATGTATTTGAAGGAGTCCTTCCACACACATTTGGATCCCAAAAATGAACAGGTATAAAAGCATTCATTTCAGTAGCCTAAAGTGCAATAAAAAATATAGAAACATTTACCTTGACTTCTTAACCTGTTTCCTAGAGACAGGTACAAGGTAAAGACGGTTTATGCAGTAAAACCAAGTTGGAGTGAATGCATCCCCTTTTATATGCAGGAAGGCCTGTTTCCAAAACACAGAAATTTTGTTCCAAAAGACGTATGTGAAGGATGCCTTCCACTCAATTTCAGATCCATGAAAGGAACATGTGTAGAAGTGTTCACTCAGATAGTCTAAAATGCAACTGTAATTCTAGAAACAATTACCCTATTTCTGATCTTGTTTCCTTGAACCAGTTTCAAGTTTAATGCAGTCTGTGCTGTAAAACTGAGTTGGAGCAAATGTCTCCCCCTATATATACAGGAAGGTCTGCTTCTAAAACACAAGAAGTCGGTCTTCCAAACAATATATGTGAAAGAGGCCTTCCAAATGCATTCGGAACCAAGAAAAGAACATGTGTAAGAATGTTCATTCAGATAGTCTAAATTAAAAGGGTAAATCTTGAGACACATATCCTGATTTCTCAGGCTGTATCCTATAGCTGGTTTCAAGGTAAAGGCAGTTTAAGCTTTAAAACTGAGATGGTGTGAATGCCTCCCCTTATATATACAGATGGCTTGATTCCAAAACACAGATATTCTGTGTTCTAATAAAGGTATGTGAAGGAGGCCTTTCACACACATTCAAATCCCCAAAATGAACATATATAGAAACATTCATTCAGGTAGTCTAAAGTACAAGGGAAAATCTAGATACACTTAACCTGATTTCTCAGTGAGTTTCATAAAAATGCTTTCAAGGTAAAGGCAGTTTGTGCTTTAAAACAGAGTTGGAGCAAATGCCTCCCCTTATCTATACAGTAAGGACTGCTTTCCATACACAGGAACTCTGTTCCAAACAGGGTACATGAAGGAGTCTTTCCACACACATTCAGATCCCAGAAAGGAATATGTAGAGAAGAGTTCATTCAGCTAGTGTAAACTGTAAGTGTAACTCTAGAAACACTTACCCTGGTTTCTCAGCCTGTTTCTTGGAGCAGGTCTTAAGGTAAAGGCACTTTGACCTGTAAAATCGAGTTGGAGTGAATGTCTCCCATTGTATATAGAAGAAAGCCTGCTCCCAAAACAGAAAATCTGTGTTCCAAACAAGGTTTGTGAAAGAGATTTTCCACACACATTCAGATGCCAAAAATTTACATATGTAGAAGGGTTCATTCAGGCAGTCTAAATTATAAGGGTAAATCTAGATACGTTTACACTGATTTCTCAGCCAGTTGCTTAGAAATGCTTTCTCGGTAAAGGCAGCTTGTGCTGTAAAACCAAGTTGGAGTGAATGCCTATACATATATATGAAGGTCTGCTTCTGAATTACAGAAATTATTTGTTTCAAAAAATTTATGTGAATGTGGCCTTCCACATACCTTCGGGTCCAAGAAAGTAACATGTGTGGAAGAGTTCATTTAGCTAGTCTAAAGTGCAAGATTAAATCTAGAAACACTTATCCTGATGTCTCAGCTTCTTTCATAGGGACAGTTTCAAGGCAAAGACAGTTTGACTAGTAAAACCGAGTTGGAGTGAATGACTTGCATTTTATATACAGGAATGCCTGCTTCCAAAATCTGAAACTCTGTGTTCCAAACAAGGTGTTTTAAAGAGACCTTCCACACACATTCTGATCCCAGAGAGGAACATGATTTCAAGCATTCATTCAGCTATTATAATGTGCACAGATAAAGCTACACTTACCCTGATTTCTGTGCCTGTTTCCTATAGCAGGTTTCAAGATAAAGGCAATTTTGTCTGTAAACCTGAGTTGAAATGAATGCCTCTCATATGTATAGGGAGTCGTGCTTCCCAAACCGAGAAACTCTGTGTTCCAAATGTGATATCTGAAGTTAACCTGCCACACACATTCAGATCCCAGAAAGGAAAATGTGTGAAATCGTTCATTCAGCTAGTCAAAATTTAGATAGTGAATATAAAAACAGTTACCATGATCTCTCAGCCAGTTTGCTAGGGATGGTTTCATGGTAAAGGAAGTTTGTATTTTAAAACTGATTTGGAGCAAATGCCTCCACTTACATGTATAGGGAAGCCTGAGTCCAAAACACAGAAACTATGTGTTCCAAACAAGGTATGTGAAGGTGTACTTCCACACACATTCAGAACCCAGAAATGAACATGTAGAGAAGTGTACATTCAGCTAGTTTAAAGTACAAGCATAAATCTAGAAACACTTAACATGATTTCTCAGCCTGTTTCCTACAGTCACTTTAAAGGTAAAGAAGTTTGCACTGTAAAATCGTGTTGCAGCTAATGCCTCTCCTTATATATACAGGAAGGACAGCTTCCCAAACAGAGAAATTCTGTGTTACAAAAAAGGTATGTGAAGGATGCCTTCAACAAATTCTGATCCCAGAAAGGAACATGTGTAGAAGCATTGATTCAGATAATCTAAAATACAACATCATATCTACAAACACTTACCCAGATTTCTCAACCTATTTCCTAGAGCCAGTTTCAAGATAAATGCAATATGAGCTGTAAAACGGAGTTATAGTGAATTCCTCCCTTTATATATACAGGAATCCTGCTTACCAAACACAGAAACACTGTGTTCTAAACAAGGTACATGAAGGAGACTTTGACACACATTCAGATCCCAGAAAGAAACATATGTAGATGTTCATTTAACTAGTCTTAAGTGCAATTGTAAATCTAGAAACACTTTCACTGAATTCTCAGCCAATTTCCTAGAGCTGGATTCAAGGTAAAGGCAGTTTGCACTGTAAAACTGAGTTGGAGCGAATGCCTCCCTTATATAAATAGGAAAGCCTACTTCCCAAACACAGAAACTCTGTGTTCCAAACAAGGTTTATGAGAGTCCTTCCACACACATTTGGTTCCAAAAAATGAAGATGTTTAGAAGCATTCTACAAGTAGTCTAAATTGCATGGGTAAATCTAGAAACAGTAACCCTGATCTCTCATCCTGTCTCCTAGAGCCAGTTTCAAGGTAAAGATAGTTTGTATTATAAAACCATGTTGGAGCTAATGCCTTCATTTATATGTATAGCAAAGCCTGCTTCCCAAACTCGAATACTACCTGTTTCAGACAAGGTTTGTGAAGGAGGCCTTCAACACACATTCGGATCCTAGAAAGGAACATGTGTTCAAGCATTCATTCAGCCAGTCAAAATTGTGAAGGTAAATCTAGAAACACATACTCTGATTTCTCAGCCTGTTTCCTTAACCCAGATCCAAAGTAAAGTCAGTTTGTGCTGTCAAACTGAGTTGGAGTGATACCTCATGTTATATAAAAAGGAAGACTGGCTAGCGAAACACAGAAGCTCTCTATTCCAAACAAGGTATATGAAGAAGGCCTTCCACACACATTCAGATCCCAGAAATGAACATATGTATAAGCATTCATTCAAGTAGTTTAAAGTGCAAGGTTAAGTCTAGAAACTCTTATCCTGATTTTCAGCCTATTTCCTAAAGACAAATTCAAGGTAAATGCAGTTTTCACTGTAAAGCTGAGTTTGAGTGAATGCCTCCCCTTATATATAAAGAAAGGCCTGCCTCTGAAACACAGAAAATATGTGTTCCAAACAAGGTATATGAAGGAGGCCTTCCACACAAAATCAGATCTCAGAAAGTAATGTGTTCAAGAGTTCATTCAGCTAGTCTAATGTGCAAGGTTAAATATAGTAACACATAATATGAATTCTTTTTCTGTTCCAAGGGACAGATTCAAGATAAAAGCAGTTTGTGCTGTAAAACCAAGTTGGAGCAAATGCCTCTTCTTTTATGCATATGGAGGCATGCTTCCCAAATCCAGAAACTCCATGTTACAAACAAGATATTTGAAGGAGGCTTTCAGCACACATACAGATCCCAGAAGTGAACATGTACAGAAGTGTTCGTTTAGATTGTCTAAAATGAAAGGTTAAATCTAAAACACTAATCCAGATTTCTCAGCCTGTTTCCTAGAGCCAGTTTCATGGTAAAGGCTTTTTGCACTGTAATTCCTAGTAGAAGTGAATGATTCCCATTATATATACACAGGAAGGTTGGCTTTCCAAATACAGAAACTCTGTGTTCAAAGCAATGTATGTGAAGGACGCCTTCCAACAGTAGGAATCCCAAAATGAACATGCAGAAGCATTCATTCAGGTAGTCTAAAGTGCAAGCGCAAATTTACAGAGATACCATGAATTATCAGCTTGTTTCCAAGAGCCGCTTTGAAGGTTAAGGCAGTGTGGATTATAGAACCTATATATGGAGCAAATTCCTTCCCTTATATATGCAGGAAGTCCTGCTTCCAAAATTCAGAAATTTTGTGTTCCAAACAAGTTATATGAAGGAGACCATCCATGCACATTTATATCCCAGAAAGGAACATGTTTAGAAGCATTCATTCAGCTAGTCTAAAATGCAAGGTTAAATCTGGAGACACATATCCAGATTTGACACCATATTTCCTAGAGCCAAATTTCATGGTAAAAGCAGTTTGATTTGTAAAACAGAGTTGTAGCGAATGCCTATCTTTATATAAAAATGAAGGCCTGGGGGGCAGAGGCCAAGATGTTGGAGTAAAAGGATTCTCATAGCTCACCCTTTCCCACAAATGCACGAAGACTCACATCCACAGACCCACTCAGCCAACTAGAGAACCTGTGGAACTTCGACAGAACAGTGTCCTCTTCAAAAGATAGAGACGCTAAAAATCTGGTAAGAGAAAAAGTGAAAAGAAAGAAGAAAAGGTAAAACACAGCAGAACAGGACCCATGGGGAAGGAGTGGCAAAGGATTACTGATGCTCGTTTGCTGGATCTCTCCTCTCCAATGGAGAGGCCAGCAGGACAGAGGGGGAGACTCCAAGGCTTGGATCTGTACACAGCAGCCCTTGACTGACAGAACTAAGTTAAATGGGCACAGAGAGTCCCTGTGACACCCAGACTGAGATGCGGGCCAGCAGCTGGGGGCTAGGCCAGGCTGCCTGAGCTTGGGGGGGATGGGGATGGCTGTACTGAGGCAGACTCCGGGGACTGCAGGGAGCTGTGTGCCATGGCTGTGGGTGCATGGGGCAGAACAAACTGGGCCCTCCATAAAACAACAGAGCAGATGTGCCCTGGGGGGAAGGGTGCATACCTCCATCTCTGAAAACCCACAGAATGTTTTTGGGGGAAGAGAAGCAGGGATCAGGCACAGCCGCCATATCCTCCAGTGCTTAGCACCCAGGCAGGAGTGGAGATGAAACCTGCATC